AATAAAGGCTGATAGTTTCTAAAGAAACTGTTTGGGGCTGCGTCGGTGGGGGTAACGAAATAATTTGAATATATCAACAAAGTTGAAATGGTAAATTGGCCACCGTTACGATTATAAAAGCTGACGTTTCGAGCGTTAGCCCTTCGCTCCGACGAAGGGCTGACGCTCGAAACATCAGCTTTTATAATCGTAACGGTGGCCAATTTACCATTTCAACTTTGTTGATATATTCAAATTATTTCGTTACCCCCACCGACGCAGCCCCAAACAGTTTCTTTAGAAACTATCTGCCTTTATTCATGTGTGGTTCTTAAGTTGATGATGCTCAGCAATGTGATTGTTGACATCACCTTTCCTCGTCGCTCGCTTGTGTTCAATCAGTCTTGCTGTAACATTCTGCCATTCGCTCCGATCTAGGAGGCTTAGCAGTCGGAGCAACTGATCTTATAATCCGTTCTCTCTCTGTTCTTCGGTTCGTCCTTATCTTTGACATTTTTCTTTGACGGTACGTCCTTGTATTTGATGTTTGTTAGGAACTGACGGAGTGTACGTAGTGACGCAGTGTAAACATATTATAAAATTCTGTTCCTTTATCAGTCCATAAACATGGTTTTAAAAGGGTGAAAGTGGTGGTTATGGATTGATAAAAGAAATGAGACATGAAAAAGTCACTTTACCCGTTTCAGAGCCGGTACCAGATCCGGAGGAACTTTCACACATCTCAACATTACCATCTCTCTAAAACAAAAATATGGTGGTTATTAACCTGCCTAATATTTGTTTGGGGACCTGAACGCATTATGGCACTGAGATGAATCGAGGAGCAAGGCCAGTAAATTTAATTTTGTCAAGAGAAAATACAAGATCATGTTTTGTCGTGCCTTGGATGATCTCGGCGACATGCTATTTCTCGGTGTTTTTTCCTTTCTTCCCTCCTTTCGAGGTTTCCGTTTAACTTCTTGCTCAGTCGAACCACAAACGACTCTGAGATATAAAATTAGATGTGAGCAAACCGTCCTGCTGTTTTCCTTAAACAATTCTTTGAGTTTGAAACCTCTACCTCATTTAAGTGGCCTGCATCTAATGGGAGCTGATCTGCTGACATAGGACAGGCCCTCAAACGAGGACTGATGGTGCCACCCCCTTGAGCATCGCCTTTACCAAAGGCACCATTGTCCTGGTTGACTGAAAAGAACAAAATATCTTTGCTTGCCGTCCAGATTGCATTTCATATACCTAATATAATAATGATGTCGGGAATAGCAAGCAGAGATAGTTGATGTGATCATAGAACTTAATTGAAAATCATTCTTAAGGCTTTTGCATAGTGTAAGGTCATGAGGTAATGTAAAAAGAATTTGCTTTTTTACGCGCCCTTAGTGGTTCAATTTTCTAGACTGGAAAAGGCAAATTAAAAAAAAAAACGTAAAATGTTCCTGAAGAAAACAGAACAATAAAAAATGTATTATTTGTATCACGAGCTCGTTTATTTGTACTTCCAAAATAAGAAACTCGCCACACTGTTTCACAAAAATCAAAACTTGACCTTGTCTATTTGCATTTTTCCATGCTAGAAATGTTCGTTTCTTGGCACATTGAAATTTGATCTGTTGTCTGCACAACCAGTTAGATATTCGCCAAAACCCCTTCATTCTTATTTCTTCTTCTTACTTCTTTTTATTTTTTTTCTTTCTTTATTCGATCTCAAACTTACCCTGTAGTTCTTTTACATTTCTTACAACTGCTTGAACTACTTTATCGAGCTCATCCTGACGCTCCTCAAGCTTATCGTGACGCTCCTCAAGCTCATCGTGACGCTCCTCAAGCTCATCGTGACGCTCCTCAAGCTCATCATGTCGGTCCACAAGCTCATTGTGTCTCTCCACAAGCTCATCTTGTCGCCCCTCAATAAAATCAGATCGCAAATTTGTCGAATGAACTCGCTCATCCATGCAGACGAGGCTCTCTTCTAGTCTAGAAAGATGATCAGCAACGGAGGAAAGCTTTTTCACGGTTTCAGGCAGCTGGTAACCCAGTAATTCATCGTGTTCTTCCAATTTTGTTCCGAGCAAATCTTGATATTTATTGAACTCGTTCCTGATGTCAATCACGTCTTTAGCGACTAAGAGCTCCCACCCTGGATAGTTAATTGATAGAATTGATTTAGAAGACCTGAATAAATAAGAGTGGGTAAAAATGATTTTAAAAAATGTATGTTTTGCTATTTCGGTATACCGTATCCTCGTTGTGTGCGAGGAAGGCAAACGAGAGTTGTAAGCAATAAGAGTAACGCTCCACCTCAATTAGAATAGAAATTGTTTTCGCCTTGCAAGATCATTTCGATATATTTGCTTCAAGTTGTTAATTAAGTGTTGACGTTAAAAAATGAGGTATTGGATGGTTGAAGATTTCAAATGATACGTGATAAAGCATCCATTCATGTGTCTATACTATTCCTTTGCCTCGCGCGGAGTCTTTCCCTCTTACCACTTGCAGCTGAGAATAAGTGGTGACGTGCATGCATAAATATTGAAATGTACAAACAATTCCTACGATGTTTTGTCAACAACCTAGACAAAATTACGTCCTAGCGTAACTGTTTGCAGGGACTTATGCTTCGTATTCTTACCACAGAACATTGATTTCTCACCAACTCCGATGTTAAAAAACCCCTTAAGATGATTCCTAAGTATTGCATTGCGCATCTTGTACTGCGCACGAAAATCACGTCAGTCACGCGAATAAGCGCGTGTGCATTCCAAGATCGCGTATTGTTTTTAATGAGTGGACCAGGTAAAAAGATACGATGGTCTTAAGCCCTTGAAGGAACACGTTTATTTGCATTTTTTGTTGCATAATTTTTGTGTACAAATTATCCCCTTAAAATTAGAGAAATTTCGAAATTATCGAAGGGGAAAAAAGATATAATTAAAAGTGTACACGAAACTCGTTACTCACTGGCGCAAATAGAGTGACCTTGAAAACAATAACTCGAGGAACGTTTTGAGTCGATTTCGTTTTAAATTGTGTAATGTTTTCACAAATTTCTCATCACATTGTTTCATCCGCTCGAGACTTCCTACCTATCAAGTATTTTTAAAAAGTTACTTTTAAAGCCCCTGCTTCCAGCTACCCTAAAATGTACCGTGAAGTGATGAGATGACGCGCGTGATTAGTGCCAGTACAGGTATAAACGGGGTAATATTGGTCCATCATATCTTTAAAACGAGCGCGGTGAATACTCTTTTTTTTATTGTATTTTTCGAAACAGACATTGGTAGGAAACATTTAAGGAAAGATTAAAAAAATTTGTTTGATAATGTAATCACCAGAAAGGTTCACTTTCCAATCATATACAGAATATTTCATCAAGGGGTAAAGTGTTTAATCGCTCAAACGCAAATAGATAAGACTCTACCGTTTGTTCTCCATCGGTGAAGGTGATCCAAAGTATCCTTCTCTTGGTCGGCAGGAAGTACAAGAGCCCTGACCAAATCGACGAGCTTTGCAAAGCTTTGGTTTACGAAGTTTTCTGTCCAGATGCTCTCGTCATAATGAGCCCCAGGATTTCTAACATTATTCCTGACATCGTCGGCCAGTGATTTAATATCTAGCAAAGGATTTGATGAGACATGTACTTGGGTGGGATAATTGTCATATCCCAAAAGGCGAAGAGCAGCGCTCATATCCATGGAATTGTCAAATTCCCTGAATTTTGCTAGGTAATCAGGAAGATATAACTTGGCAAGATCCACCGGGCTGTTCACTGAGTAGTTGTAGTTCGGTTTGGTCTTTTCTGCATTGTCGTTTATGTTTTTAAATTTCAAGCCTTTAAGGTAACGATCTGCATGGTGAGGTGGGTGGCATATTAAATATGTCAAAGTCCGTAGACTGCATGGTGTTGAGATGTTTCGTAAATGACCATTTAAAAATTCATATAGTTTGCCGATTCCTTTTGCCACATATTCCCTTACCAATGGAGCCACAATTTTTTCGGTGGCCACCAGAACTGTGAGCCATCTTTTGTCATTTTCAGAGACAGTCATCTCCAAACAAATCACCGTTCAAGCAGTACACTCTACACTAGATCTGAAACGAGAATAAAGCCATACGTAATCAGTAAATATATCCAGAAATTAATTTAATTTATAATTGTAATCGAGCTGAGTGGGGTGCATTTTGGTTTGAGTTTTATCATTTTTGACGAAAATTAGAATTTTTGATCAAGTTATACGTTTCACCCAGTTATGATATAAAGAAAATTACAAAGTAATGTGAACGTTTTTTAGTGCTACTGCATGATTTTACACGTCTGAACGCAATAAGAAATTATAGCAATACAATGTTTGAGATTTCTGCATTTGTTAAAAAAATTTCTATCCTTCATCGGCTCCTTGAGTCGACTTTGACGTGTAAAAATAAAAGAAAGAAACAGCAAGACAAATTATATAAACGACAAGGAGTCATTACGACATTTTTTTTTAATTCATTTGTCAGTCGAATTCCTTTTCATCAGACCTTGAATTGTAATAATTAAATTTATCTTTTTTTTATCTTGTTTTAACAAGACTCAACAGACGTCAGGTGACCTTAAGGGCAAGGGAAATTTCCCTTCCTTTTCCTTTGTTTGCGAAACGACTTGGGGAGGGAAATTTCGTTCATCAGCTTCTTGAGTCGATTTTGACGTGTAAAAAAAAAGAAGACAAAAAACGCAGACACACAGACCCTATACTTTTCCCCTTGATCATATCGGATCAACAAAGGTATCGACGCCATGATGACCCATCAGCGTTCACTTCACGGTCTTAGTACTCCGCATGTACTCAAAGTTATCACATAATAGTTATCCCTTGGAGTGTAAAACTTTTTCTTGCCAAACGTTTCAGTGAGATCACCCGAAGAATCAGACATAAGTTTATGAGTATAAATTGTTCCAACTCTAAATCTTTCGATATCGACGGTCAAAATAAGATATTAGGGACCTTAACCAAACCACGAAGGCAACGGCAACGAGGACGTGGTAAAACAAAAGATCTAATGGTTAAACAATAGCTCAGCACGAGTGTTTGAAAACTTTGTATATCTCTTAGCCGTCCTTTGCAAAACAACAACGTGAAATCACAAATATTTGCGTCGTCTGCGAATGGAAACCGTAACGGCAAATTATTTTAATTTCCATTTGGAACTCAACGCTGTCTATTTTATGCTGAAGTTGAGGTGTAGTGCCGCAAGAGACGGTAAACACAAGCAGCCATTTTCGAATTTCTTATTTAAAGTAGAAATTCATCTTTTAATCGACTTCTTCCTTGGCGTTTTCGTCCTAACTACTTGAAGTCCCTATTCAGCCCTTTTGGAAACCGTATCTACATTTCCCGTCTTCTTAAATATTCAGCCCAAGTCATTTGCATAATCAATTTAAAGTAATGACGCAGCAATAAATGCAAAAAAATGTGGGAGATTAAAGCTTTTGAAAACTTTTTTTGATGTGATCATCTCAGTGCTTGGTTAAATGTCGATAAAGATGCTGTTCGCGCAACAAATATTTATCACACATGACAGACCTTCATAGATATGGTGGTCATTTTTCTGTTGTGACTGTTTTTAAAAGCACATAATATATCTTAGGTCCTAATTAATGACTAACAAAGGCCATTGATCAGAAAGCGGCAAGATGTAGCGATATTTCTTGTCATGTCAAGAAAGATGCCGTTTGTCCAACGAATATTTATTATCTGGATATGGTGGTTGGTCTTCCAAGTAAGTATAACGCAAAAATGTTATCTACCTACCTTGAAATTCAAGTTTAACTGTCAAAAGTCTTGACAGCGCATAATGAGGCTGATTATCGTTATGAATCATGCACAAATCGAATAACTAGAGCTCGAAATTCATCCTTTAACTGGCTACAGTGTCAGAAATGCATCTCAAAATAACTTATGCATCTTTCTTAAAGAAAGAGTCAGACTTAAATGTTTTTGGAAACAAATGTCTCACAGGTCAGATGCGCCCGGGTTTGCAAGGGAAATTTCCCTTCTATTTAAAGCTATTTAAATTACTTATAATTGCACAATTTTCAATCTCAAGTGATGAGGTACCCTGAACTATAAGTTCTTGAAAACAGACAAAAGTCATCCAGTTCTGAAAAGAACATTCTTTTCGTTTACGCGAGATGGCTGCAATAATCATACTGCGTGTCACGCATGCACAAGGCTTGACTTCAATCACGAAGAAAACGAATCGGGTAATAGCTTCACAACAAAATTACATAAACAGTCAGAGATCAAACTCGTTTGAGTTGACATCATATTGAAGGAGTACACTTTACTTTTTCTTCTTTTTTCAACGCTATATTTTCCCCTCATTCTCTATTAAAATGTATCCCAGACTACACTGAAACTCTCGTGATGCACAGTACGTCCAAATTCAAAGAATACGAAAGTGACGACTCGGTAACAAACACAAAAAATTCCGTAATGTACTTTTCGTAGTCTTACCCAGTCTTACCCATTCATGCAACTCCTTGACTCCAGTTTAGCTGAGACTTCGAAAGTTATTTCTGTAACTACGCGAACACTTTGAAAAAGTTTTTTTGCACTGTTTCTGCAATGAGTGATTGTCATTGTATTTGGTTAAAATGTTTCCTCTCCCTTTTTCTGTTGTGACTGTTCGAACACAGAATTTATCCCAGCACCGAGCGACTTACACAGGAATATCGAAAACAACAAGATATACGGATATTTCTTGTCATCTAAATAAAGATGCTGTTTTCGCAACAAACTCTTATAGCAGACCTTCATCGATATGGTGGTTAGTCTTGCCAGTAAGTAGATGGAAAACTGTTATCTACGTACCTTAAAATTCAAGCAAATATCCCAGGAGATTTGACGTCGTACATTGAGGCTGATTATCTTTATGAATCATGCACATGTCGGATAACTAGAACTCGAAATTCATCCTTAAACTGGCTGACAGTATTAGAAATGCAACTCATGCGGATGAGGTGGTGCACGCGCGGAGCGTGATGAAGCGCGACTTCTCACTACGCCGTTTTAAACAAAATCACTATCGTAGACCTGTGACCCAAGACGAAAATCGAACTGCTTTCTTTTTACTGTTTTAAAATGCTTTGTGTGCGGCGACAGCGAAATAAAAGGAGAAAAAAATTAAAAGTAGATAAAAGAAACAGGAGAAATAAAGTTTCCTACAAAATCATAGTTTTTAAACAATGCTCTCCTTGTTCACGCTTAATGATTCAAATGCACATTTATGGAAATAAAATTTTCCTCGTAACACACCAATTTACATAAATTAACTTTAAACCCCCAACATTCAGAACTGAAAGTCGTCTGAGTTGACATCACATTGAAGATATACACCTTACACTTTCTAGCCCCGTATTCTCTCTCATCCTCTTTTTAGATGTATCCGAGGCTATATTAAAACTCTCGTGTTGCACCTCATGTCGACCGGAATTCAAGAAATCGAAAGTGATGACGCAGTAACAAACAGAACAAATTATTGGAAGCTGAAGACTGAAAAATCCCGTGATATGCATTTCGCAGTCTCAGGGTCTGAGTCAGTCTCACCCATTCTTGGGACCCCTTGACTCGAGTTTAACTTAGACTTCGATAGATATTTCGATAACTACGCGAAAAGCTTCCGCAATGATTGAAGATTTTAATTTATCACAGACCTCCATCGATATGGTGTTCTCATTTCTGTTGTGACTGTTTTTAAAAGCACGTAACATATCTCAGGTCGTAGCGACTAACAAAGGCTGTCAGAAAACGACAAGATG